CTCATACAAAATTTGAAATTTGCTTTCTAAATGTAATTATCTTAGTTATTATTCGTATTGTGAAAATTATAATATAGATGAAATACAATTAAGAATAAATCAATGTAATTATGTAAATTCTCTCTATAAGTTTATTTGAATATGTACATAATTAGAGAATAGAGATTATATTAACCATACAAAATTTTAATTATAATTTTATATTCTATAAAAATAATAAATACTTGACCAATGGAAGCTCAAAAATATTATTATATTAAACAATTTAAAATATTTTTATTTTTTCTATTTTTTATTTATATTTATAATAACATAATTTTTCCCCGTGCATCGCTCGAGTGAATTACTAGTTATATATAATATATCTATGTATTTATATATAATAATATATAAATAGGAAGAGAGAGAGAGAAAGATTATAATGAATAATGTTTATTCACTGGGATGATTTAACAAATGAAAATACACCACATATTTATACTAAGAGAAAGCTAATAAATAAGAAGCTAATGCTCCATGTACTACTCCTATAATCTAGGCATATTCCACTTTAACATACATGACTCACCCATGTTTGTTTTTATTAAATTCTTTGACTTGGTTTAATTACTAATAATATTAATAATAATATTATTATAACAGGATACATGCATTTTATATGATGGATGTACAAAGTGGTTCAGTCTTCATATCTAGAGATGAACAATTTTATGAGCAGGTGTTTTCTTTCAACACAAATTAAATGAAGCTAAACATACTGTAGAAACTGATGCATATGAATTTTTCAATCCCTCTCTGCCAATGGTTTCCTTTTCAGATGATTATAATAACTTGGAAGATATAGGTAGTAATATAATGATCGTTCCACCTCAGGTGTTCTACCTGAGTCTTCACTTGATCAAGACAGCCAGAGCCGGTCCAATCATTTTATAGGTTCGGACAAAATTAAAACAAGGGCCCTATTATTTTTTTTAGAAAACCAAAGCTTTAACAATAATATTAAATTAAAGGTTCAATACAAGAAGGAACAGAATCATCCCAAATACTTGGACCACTAGATGAATCAGTAGCTCTAGCTATAGTATGTGCCAACCTATTCACTGATCTAGGAATAAAATTAATGGATACTACTTCAAAGTATCGTTTTAAAGAACGACATTGACTTATAACACAACCCGTACTAGAATAGTCCAAAGCCGAGCCATTGATCGCATTACATACCGTTTGACAATCTGTAAGGACAACCACCTTCATCAGCCTTCGATCATAAGCCCAGGATAACGCCTCCTTAATCGCAATTGCTTCTGCCAAGTTCACATCATTTAAACAACGACTCGGGCCATTTTTGGCAGCCACGAAATTACAAGGGCTCTATATGAACTTAAAAGATTGTACGAGTTAATTGAAAATAATTAAATGATAATTTTGAATTTTTATAAATATATAATTATTTTTATTAAATAAACATTTTAGAATAACTTTGGAGTAGTACCCATTCAAACTTTAGGCCCTATATGAAGTGTAATTATAAATTAATTCAATGTTCACAAATATATATCTTTTTTTTTTTTTGAAGAAAATGACTTAATTCATTAAACCAGATAAAAGACAGTCCACAAGGAACAAGGGAGGATCATGAAACCACTCCCTGCAATCTGGCATAGAAACGGCCTCCCTAGCTAAAGTATGGGCAGCCCGGTTCGCAGATCGCTTGAAAAAACATAAGCTAACATCATGAGTGTATGATGCTATTTCTTTTACATCACTAATCAGGAAACCAAAGGCGAAATAAAAGGTTGTGCGAGTAAAGCATTACAAACTAATTGAGAGTCAGTTTCTACATTATATCTATTAACCTAAATAAGTATATCAAATAGTTGTAATTTTTAAATATATTTAAAATTAATAAATAATTTTGAAGTCATTGATTCAAATCTTTATATATGTAAGTATTTTTTTTAACTTCATCAAAAAATAAAAGCCAAACTAAGGGTTCCTCCCAACGTTAGGCCCAGGGTGGATACCCGTCCCGCTCGCCCCTCTGGGGCGGCCCCACCGGCAGCACAAAACCCGCCCAGTAGCAAACATCAGCCCGTAGCACAAGACAGCTTGTTGCCAGTACATAACATATTAACTGTAGTCTGTAGGTACATAATCTGAACTATGGATAATGAGTGGGGGTAAGGAAATAAATCCGAGCCTGAGCCTGAGCCTAAGCACAACAAACGCATAAAGATTGCAAAATCCTTTGGTCCAGATTTTCTAAAATATTTGTTAGAGTATAGTTAAATACTCTAACTATTTATTAGAAAATGAACCAAAATTTTCAAACTTGTTTTGTTAGAAAATGAGCCTCGAACTTACATAGAAGTCACTACTTCTACTACTGAAAGATCAATGTGAAAATATGCTATAAAAAGTGAAGTAGATTTTATTTTACAAAATTATACTTGGGAACTAGTTGATCTTCCTCCAACTTGCAAACCCTTTAGGATCTAAATGTGTGTGTGTGTGTATGTGTTTTTTTTTTTTTTTTTTTTTTTTAATAAACCCTAAGGATCTAAATAGGTCTTTTGAAGGAAGATGAAACCAGATATATATTGGGAAGTATACGGTCAAGACTTGTAATTATAGGTTACAAGCAATGGGAGGTCATGATTATTTCTACATGCATTAGCTTATTCTACGAGATAAATTACATTAAGATGATACTTATCATTGTCGCATTGCGAAACATGGAAGTTCATCAAGTGAATATGAAAAGTAATTTCTTAAATAGTGAGTTAGATGAAGAAATCTGTATCGAATAATCTGAGGGATTTATAGTTCCAAGCCAAAAGAATAAAGTTTGTAAATTGGTTAAAGCATTGTACCATTTAAAACTCATCCTTAAATAATGACACAAAAATTTGACCGCGCAATGGTTACCAATGAGTTTAAGATAAAAGATAGTGACAAGTGGACACGATATATAGATGATATTATGGTTATATGTTTATACGTGGATGATATACTCATTATTGGTTGTAACGACAAAATGATCAAATTTAACAAAATATATATATATTTGAAATTCACTGAGACTCAAACTCACAACCTCCCATTTGGGAGTCCAACCTGGGTGCCATCTGTGCACAAGGTGCTTGGCTTATAAGTTCAAAATGGATAATAAATGAATTAGAAATTAATTCTCATATTGAAGTTAATTGGGAAAATAATATTTGGGAAGGCTTGTTATTAGCCTTTGCCCCAAATTCAATGTGCTTTGTGCATTTAATGTTGCAGTCTGTCTTAATTTGTGCTTTTCTCTATCAGTGAATGAATTAATCAGTCTGTTTTAAAAATTAATTGTTTGTAATAAAATGCAAACAATAATATCAAATTCTTGTAGTGAGGCTTAAAGGTGATATTAGAATCTCAAGAGTATAGTGTAGAAAAAGAAGAATGGTCCCAAGGTTCTTGTCTCACTGGGCGTAACTCAAAAAGCAATAATGATATACAAATTTAAATGACAAATTAAAAAGAGTCAATTCCAGAAACGTCTCTTGTCTTTTGTGGTAATTTCATATTTAGTCACAGACTATCGTTTTCGTCATTTAAACTATCATATTTTAGACACTTTTGATAATTCTGATAATTTTTTTGGCGAAACTCCGTTTTAGACAAAGGTATTTTTGTCACATCACTTTTTTTTTTTTTTTTTTTTAATTCTACGCATCTTGCAACACCGCGGGACAACAAGAACCACCACCTGCTTCAGCCGCTGAGGTCATCCTGCTCGCTGTTGACGACAACAGTTTTGGTATGTTGATGGCGAGTATGATAGAGCAAAAATTGGTGAACGTTGGTAAATTTTCTTTTAATTATTTTGTCAACGAATTGTGATCATTAATAGTAATTTTCTTGAAATGTTTCTCAATTTTGTTGCTTTTTCATCTTCTGTTGTTCACACAAATAAATATATATAGCCACTGGATTTCAGTCATTGCAACTTCCACTAGTTGATGATGAACTAATACAAGGAACTATGTGTTGGCATGTTTCTGATCCTTTGAAATTGAAAGTAGTCTGATTATTAGCCGAAAAATCGGAAGATAATTAAAAAAAAAAATTAAAAGTATGTGATGAAAATATCCTTGCCTAAAATGAAGTTTCACTGGAAAGGTTAACAGAATAACCAAAAGACTCCGAAATATGATAGTCTGATGTTAAGTGACAAAAACAATAGTCTGAAACTATATGTGGAATTGCCACAAAAGACAAGGAACCTTTCCTGGAATTAACTCAATTAAAAAAGATGGAACTAACATACAAGGTAAGCTAAGCTCCTTTAATTTCTTTGTATGACTAGCTTGGTGTTCAATACAAGGATCAAATGGGAGTATTTTATAAGAAGCTGTCAAAAGCAATGAATATAATAGTTGGAGTGCATGGGAGGATAAGTATAGTTTGCTTTTCAACTTTTTGATTATCTGATGATATCGTGACATATATCTTCATTCTTCTCATCCATTTCATCTTCAAATTAAATATACATATAATGTTACTATATAAGTGGCCTAGTGTTGTGGTGACTGAACACAAATATACACTGTTACATCCTCAGCTCATTTCCCCCCTCTATTGAATTATTATTACTCTCGTCCCCCAATTTCTCCATTCAATATTGCAACCCAACTTCAATTCTATTGCTATCTAAGACCATAATTTCACAACAAACAATGACGCTCTCACCACTAAGCAGTCAGCCTATTGACGAGAGTATAATCAGAGAGCAAGTTTTGTCCACTGACAATTATGACGGTAGACACTTCAATACCAATTTCATTTTGAACGATGCGGAAAAGATTCTTCGTCTCAGAATGGTTTGTCATTCTACTTCTACTTTCGACTTCAATTCATGATATCTTAGAACTATTCTAATTATTTGTAAACTTCGGTACTCTATTTAGGATAAAAACTTATATATATGCTTGTGACAAAATTTTGTTTATTTGCTGCTTTCTCCATTATCTATGGAGAATATATCCTTCTTGATTCCCGATTATGCAAAGGCGGCCACAAATTAAGAGGATTGGCTAAAAAGTTGGGATCTCTGAGACAAAATAATCTAGCTAAAACACCACCCTCCTACCTTCAAAAAGTAGTTGTGGATTGCTTGAATTCAGTGTTAGAACTCACCAAATGCGTGGTTGAGCTCAAGCAATGCCCACATTACTCTCCCTCGCAATCAATAATTTTGGCCTTACCAATGACTACCTATTGGATAGCCACAATTCTTATTGACGTTAGTGGAGCATGTGTCTGTGATGCGCACTTCAAGTAAGATTTAATATAATGCCTCATTTATTAATTATTCATTACGAAATTGTATTAATTGTAAAAGTTTCTTAAGTAGTATACACATAATTGGCTTAATTGCTTGTTGAGATTATTTCTTATTTGAATATATATGACCTCAAATTTTCCAGGGTCTACCAAAATGAACTTGGGGAGCTAACTGCTTTAACGGCTAAAATATTGGCTACTTTCTCTCCGGAACTAGGTTAGTTTTATATAAGAAAAATTGTAATTTATACCCCTCACAAATATGTCAATTATTAACATCACCACTGAATTATTAGTAGTGTAAATGTTGTCCCTCAATTTTCAAAACATGACATATATTGTCCTTCCCTTAAATTATTAGTGGTATAAATGTGGTTACTAGCCGTTTTCTCTGTTCGAAAACCACATTTTTTTCCCTCCATTTTTCTTTCTTCATTTGTTTTCCTTCAACCGACAATAATGTTTTTCCTTCTTCCTATTAGGGTAGGGGTAATATATGTCACGTTTTAAAAATTACGGGGTAACATTTACACCACTAATAATTCATGGGTGACATTGATAATTGGGATATTTGTGAGGGACATAAATTATAATTTTTCCATATATATGTATATATATATATATATATATATATATATATATATATATATATATATAGTTGTCATCTAATATTTACACATTTAATTTATTTAATTTATTGAAGATTGATGATGTTAATATATACATAGACCCTGTTTGGTAAATGGTTGTTAGCTGATTGGGTTAGAGGATATGACTAGTTGATAACATTAGCTGATTGTAGAAAGGTATTCGGTAAATTAACTGTTAGCTGATAGTTGTTTGGTATAACTTCTTTTCTCAAAAAGCTAATTGAAAAAGTTGCTTTAAGCAACTTTTTGAATTTTAATATTTTGGAATTACAAAAAACTGATTAATCAAACACTTATATTGACTTTTTAATCAAGTCAAACAACTAATAATAGTCAAATAAATCAAAATTGACTGATAAGCTAACTATTTTACCAAACAGGGTCATAATTTTTTCATATGAATATATATGCAGAAAAGAAAAGGGAAGAAGAATCTTATCAAACATTGCGACATGCATTGCATCACAGTTCTTCTAATAGGGCAGAAGTTTTTAAATTAATGTTCAATGCGAAGAATGATGATGAGAAGATATTCCGTAATTCCAATGATGTTTGGGTGAGCATTTAAATTTAAACAATTCCAATTAAATTGACATGTATATATATGATCCTCAATTTAATTGTTCTTGTCGTGGTTGGCTACTTTTGTCCATAGCATATAATTAAGGACATGATATCATAGGATAAATTTTTTTTTTTTGTTTCTAGTAATATTGATTCTGTTATAATGTAGTATCTGTTCATAATTACTTTCTCAACCTATTAAAGCACAAAGAGACAATATCACCTCACGCTGAGGCTCAAATCCACAACATCCCATATGGGAAAGTAACTTAATATTATTAGATCATAAGGTCATTGGCCATAGCATAAAGTTACGACTACCAAAAAAAAAACTAGTATCATAATTTTTGGCACTCATAAAGTTATAAGTGCCAAAAATTAAATATCGTGATTCATTTATATATAATTAATTTAACGATGTTCAATTTAATGTAGCGTTATTCATATAATGAGTCGATACTAATACATAACTATTTTGTGTATATGTATGCTAGGGATTAAATCTTGGAAAAGATCGTAGGACAGTGATTCTGCTATTAACATCAAGCTTTGACATTTCTAATGGACGCATACATTTTTTAAATTGGTTTTATCACAACTCAGAACCATATATTATTTGGATTCCAATCACAGAGAAGGATGCATCATGGACCATTAAAGATGAACAGCAATTTGAAAAATTAAAAGAGAAAATGCATATGTTATTCTGGTTGAATGATCCACAGAAAAGACTGTTGCCACACTTCACTAGATTTGTTAAAGAGGAGCTATTTCTAAAGTTTAAGATGGGATGGGGAGATGAGGCTATCCTTGTTTCAATAGATCAGAAAGGAAGAATTGTTCATCCAAATGTCATGCATATGATACTCACTTGGAATTATGAGTATATTGAAAAAAATACAATAGGAGTACAGAGATTATATAATATAGCTCCCTTGGTGGAAAAGGAGGTGAAAGAAGGGACTTCTGGCGTTAATCGTGTTTTGCCTGAAATTGGTAAAATGATTAATGATTTTTTAAGGGAAATTGGTGGTAAGATAAATGCTTGGGCAGACTTGGTTGACAGCAGGATACAAAAAGTGGTACGGTACCTACGTTGTATAGTACTTTTTGTTTCAATTATTATTAATTTTCAATTCAAAATTGTACTGTATCATTTTATAACACGCGTTAATTAATTCTTAAACAGATAGAAAAATCTACTCCGTATTACAGCGATCGGGAGAAAGATTTGTGGCAACAAGAAACAACTTGGAGTCTTCATCTCCTGGCACCAAAATTTCAATCCTATCAACCAATTGGCAAACTGATAAATGATTGGGTATGCTCACCTTTAAATCATTCTGTTTTCATTTTTTAAATTCTATATTACAAATTGTACAATCATCATGTAGTTATGTGTTTTTTTTTTTTTTTTTTTTTTTTCAGATTCAAGAGGAGAAATATATTTTCTTGTATGGAGGAAATGACATAAAATGGGTTCAAGAATTCACTTCCAAGGTACGCGAAATTGGTTCCAAAACCCAGTTACACATAGAGTTGGTCTATGTTGGAAGAAACAAGAAAATAAGAGGAATCATAGATAAAAACAGAATGAGTAATTCTTCATTGCAAAATTCACAAAGTGTATGGTGGTTTTGGACTCGTCTTCGAAGTATGTTTTTGTCTAGAATTTATTATTTAGATGCGATTAATTGCCCTGTTAAAGAATACAACAATGATGAAATTTTACAAGGGTTTAAAAAATTATTGGCCTACGAAAGCACGAATACAACAATTGAAGGATGGGCCTTGTTGAGCAAAGGAGCAAAAGTGATTGTATGTGGACATGGGACTAAAATGTTGCGAGTCATGAATGAATATCAAATATGGGAGGAGAACATAGCCCCCAAAGGTTTTGGACAAGCATTCAAAGACCACCATGAGATGATTTTCATGAACATGCATTCTTGTTGTACACTGGAATATCCAATGAACTTGGACAAAATTCCTGAAAATGAAACATGCCATGAGTGCTCTCGTAGTATGCACAAGTTTTTAACTTTCACTTGTTGTCATGGCCATGATGTTGACTCTGATAAAGATGCAGAAGATATATATCAGTACTATTGAGATTTTGTATTTCATAGTGTATTTCTTGCTTCTTTTTTTTTTTTTTTTAACTTTTAAAAAACTTAATGTTAATTTTCATTACATTACATGTTCATTTCAATATAACTTTATATAGTCTTTATATTTTGGTTTTTTTGTTACCCCTTTTATGTCATTCAACAACAAAGAGTAGATATCTCTGATGATCAACTTCTCTATCCCAAGCTTCCTGAAGCTCACGTCAACCGCCGATTTCCGATCGTTGTCGTGCACCTGAATACACTCGCACAGATATCTGTCGAAAATGAGGTCGATTTCTTGAAAGCTACTCATAGATCAGTAGTTGTTGTTGCTCCTTCTCTGGCTCTCCTCAAGCTCTAGCTCCTTGGTCAACGAGCTTTCTTCCTCAAAGTCAAAGTTCTTGGACTCTTGCTCTCCCAAGGTCATCTCGATGCTGCTAGTCCTGGGGCTGTAACCGATTCTAGAAGAGGAAGAGCTCGACTCAAATAGTGACTCAACTTCGATCGGGCTGGTGTGAGCTATGAGGATGCTACGGAACTCATCCTCGAGTTGAGCCATGGCGATCTGGATTGCGCTATTAGCCCTGGTATGGTTATTGACAGCGAGACCAACTCCATGGAGCCTGCTGGATTTCATCGACGACGCTCAAGTACAGGTTAATCTCCTGTCGGTCTCTGATGAAGATCATCTTCTCTCTAGCATCTTCTGACACTTTGGAGTCCTACTAAAGAATTATCTGCTCAACCGAGTCTTATGCTACAACGCCGTTTCCATGATAAACGATGAAGGTGATATAAAAGAGAATAATGAGAATAGTCTAAAATGCCCTCTCAAATAATGGCAATTAACGGTTGATTTACAGACTAGTGCCAAGGGAACTTAATTGACTAAAATTAAAACAATTCGATGATCACATTTGTTCGAATTGAAAATTAGAGACTAAATTTACAATTATTGCAAAAAATTGAGGGGCTAATCAACTCAACTAACTGTACAATTCTCCAATACTTTGAGTAAATATGATGTCTATTATATTAAAAAATAAAAAGTTACACATATTGGCCACTTGTTTAGTTAAACCTTTCAAATTATTAGAATAGTACTTCAACTAATTTATATTTTTTAAAGGAAAAATGACATTTGTAGTCATTGAATCGTGGTATAAAGAACAACTCAATCCCTTAAATATCATTATAGCCCATCTAATTAGCTCCTAATTGCTTGTGTGGTGGCCAGGTCGTCGGCAAATTAATGTTATATGGATCATAATAAAAAATACATTTTTAATATACTAAATGTATTTTATTTTTATACTGTATGTACATTATATAATATAATGTACACTCAATACAAAAATAATGTATATCCTCTGAATACAATGTATATTATTTTTATACTGAATATACATTATTTTTGTATTAAATATACATTATTTTACAATATACAAAATATGATCCATACAACATGTGTGGACCAATGGTCCACACAATAATGATTGTATTTCGTCCTTCACATCACATATCTAAAAGTTAAAACCTCTATTAGTTTGTAATAATTGATACATTAAAAGGGTAGTAATGTAAGATTTTACTTATCTCTTATTTTAGATGGTAAGGATAGCTACCCACACAAACTACATATATATTGGCTCGGTTTGGTAAAAGAGTTAGCCAATCAGTCAATGTTGGCTTATTTAGTTATTTGGCCACTATTAATTGTTTGACTTGGTTAAAAATCAATATAAGTGTTTGACTAATTAGATTTTTGTTACTTCAAAATGCTAAAATTGAAAAAGCTGCTCAAACCAATTTTTTCATTAGCTTTTTTAGAAAAGAAATTATACCAAACAGTTACCAGCTAACAACTAATTTATCAAACATTTTTCTACAATTAGCTAATGCTATCAAATAATTATACCGTCTAATTAACTCAATCAACTAATAGCTATCAGCTAACAGCCATTTATCAAACAAGGACATTGTATGCATAGAACTAAGCAGATAAAGAAATACACAAGAGAGGAGCATGGAGCCATGGACAAAGAATATTCTGGCCAAGCTACTAAATATATTTTAAGATTATAATTGTTATAAATATGATTATTGTGGACATTATTATCTATATGGTAACAGTTGTAACTAATATAGTTATTATCTTTTATATGTATTCATTATTACTGATTGTAGTATATTTGCAAACAAATAATACCCGGAGTATATATCGCGTAATCGATCCACAGGAAAGTGGTTGTATTAAGCACTAGTTACTAATTTATTCATTAAAGTTAATCCTAACGATAGACTTGGATGGTTTCATTAAATAAATAAAATAGATCAGTGATTCAGGGTATTGAAAACAAAATAGACAGATTGAGATTCCTGGGATTCAAGTGTTTAACCCCCTAGTGCCTAACCTAATGTAATATTAAATCTGGGTTCATACGAGTGTGAGAATGCAAGGTGGTATAGAGCTACTCTCGCAGTCACTAACACTGGTGAATATCCACTCTCGTACTATAATCACCCAATAAAACAAGAACAAGCATCATAAATTCCTAACTACTACCATCTCTCGAACAGGCAATAATTAAGAATTAAACTCCCTAAATAAATTACCATTTCTCAAGGTGCAACAATTAGGTGGAATTATGTGTGCCCTAAATTATGTCCAACTCTCGTTGTGACACAAAGAAAGCAAACGAAGCAAGTAACTATGGCCACTAATTACAAGCATCAAACAATAAAATCATAATTGCAACACAAGTATTAAACCCAAATAATAATTTAATATATTAAAGAATCTGAGAGCTCAGGCACATAGGTTCATAAACACTTTTACCCAAGAATCTCTAAAGAATTTAGTCAAGCATATCTAAATTATACATAGCAAATAATAATAAATACAAATTATCGAAAGAGTACAAGAATGAACCAGACGATTCTCTCAAATCTCCCCAGTCTTCTTCTTGCTTCCCAAGATAACTTGTGGCTCTTGATTTCTCTCGTTCTTGTCTCCAAAGATCTCTGAATAATTTTAGGGTTGAGGAAGGTGTGATTTTATAGTTGGAACCAAACCCGGAGAGAATAAGAATCCACCTAGGGTTGAGGGAAGATGAACTTTTTATAGTAGGAACCCAATAGGGATAAAATAGAAAAATCCGCAGCTTAAATTCTCGCCCAGGACATAGGTCCGATTTGCAAGCTTATTTTGACCGTTTTTCCGTCTTATTTGGACTTCAATGTCTTGATAAGAGTTGTAGCCCTTCGAGTCTTCTTTCCAAAGGAGCAAGAATCACCTGAATCGGACATTCCTATGCTGAGATATGGTCCAAAAACCAAACTGTCGCCAATCTGTGCATACCAGATTGTAACCCTTCGAGTCTTCTTTCCCATGGCGCAAGAATCACCTCAATCGGACATTTCTAGCATGAGATATGATCAAAATACTAAGTTGTTGCCGAATTCAGCCGGAATAACAACTCTGTGCTCTTTTGCTTCACTTTTTCCTTGTTTGGTTCTTGTGATCAAATCCATTGAAAACACCACTCTGTGGCTCTCTTTCAAGCATTTTAGCCACCTCCTTAGCTTCACCTTGACTTTGTTTTGGCTACAAACTCATCCTAGAATTTCCCTTGCTCATAACTTTGACCTATAATGGTTCAAAAACACTAACAAACACCGTAAAACATTCAAAACAAGTGTGAACCATAACTAAATAATAAAACGAAGGATTATGCAATTAAATCACCAAAATCATGACCCTAAGCCTAATAAATATAGATAAATCGATACTAAAAATGTGCACAATTAGGCTCACATCAATTACCTTGTATACAGTGATACCTTTGTATAAGAATAGTGTAATGATGAATGAGAAGATCCTGGCCTTTCCTCTCCACTCTGTCTATTCCTTCTTCCTTTTCTTGCGTTGTTATTTTTTTGTTTAACAATAATCAAATTAGGGTAGAAATTGAAAATGAACTGTATCTTTGATTTCATTAAAGATTATAACCATTGCCACCCAGGCCAATTTGATTTTTATAGTATAACTCATCTTTAATTTCGAGGTTTAAAAATAGCGAATATTACTTACAATTTGGAGTGGCTCAATCTCTAGCAACCTTTTACCGCAAATTATGCTGTGCAACCATATGCACCATCGGTTGCAAAAACGACGTTGTTTTAACTAAAAACGTGCGTCCCACTTTTTAAAAAAATTCAGGTTCGATTCCCAACAATAATATTTTTTTTATGCATAATTTGAATTATATATCCACAAATTCATAATAACTATATATTCACAAATTCATAACTATATATCCACAGTGAATGAATAACACAAAATCCAGAATGAATGAACTAAATATCCACAATGAATGAACTAAATATCCACAAATTCGTAACTATATATCCACAAATTCATAACTATATATCCACAAATTCATAACTATATATCCACAATAATGCTGTTGAGGGGAATCGAAACTGAAACTTTTTTTTTAAAATAAGACGCGCATTTTTTAGTCAAAATGACATCATTTTGCGTGGTGCACATGGTTGCACAGCATAACTATTGACCTTTTACTTCATCCTATTGTTGTCGTTCTCCAATTACAAAGGCACTAGTATTATATTGACTTAAAAAAAAAAAAAAAAAGTTAAGGAATTAGGGTTTTCATGGCAAATTGAAAAAGTTATGTTTTGGCTCTTAATGATTGTGACTGACTTGTTTTTTGGAGGGAAAAGTAAAAGAATTTTTAGAATTGCCCTTACAATTTAAGCTATCAAAGACATTAATGTTAAGTTTTAAGAGATATATGACATGAGGGTCGAAAATGGTCACCACATTATTGACATGAGAGATATATGACATGAACTAAATAAGGCTACACTTATAATTAACTAATTGAGCTGTCTATTATTTCACAACTCAAGTTGTAAAAAAAAAACATTTTTCATATTTTTAATAAACACTAGTTACCACATGCACTTTGCGCGATTAAACCAATGCTTAATGTGTATTTTTAAATTAGTGTTCCATAATTGTTCAAAGTATTCATATAATAAAGAGAGAGATAAATATGATAAAATCTGTAATAGGTTTCAAATTTTGCAATTCAAATTATAGTAAGGTAGCGTGGATGCAATGTGGCACTTAAATATTCATATAATAATGAGAGAGATAAAATATAATATAATATGAAATACTCCAAATTTTGCAGTTCATATCATAGTAGGGCAGTGTAGGTGTGAGACTTAAATTGTAAAATTATTGAAACACTTTTGAAATTTTACACGGCAAGGACCGACTAACATTGACCAATCCCCAACCATTTATTTTTTATTTTACTTCACATTTTTTTTCCATTGGAATAGTCCAATAATTAAATGGTTACGGTGTAATTCTATAGCACCGAGTAGTATATTCAATAAGATATTAAATAGCAAACGACTCCACACAGCTACACATATTATTGGACCGAGTAGTATGGGAAGAATAAGATATTAAATAGCAAACTACTTCATACAACTACACATATTTAATAGTAAAGTAAATAAGTAAAGGATATTTAGATTAAGTGGCTTAAAAAATGGGTACTATTTTGTCTATGCCTTCTAAAAAGAGGTTGCCTAACTCAAACCATGAAAATATCTA